AGAATCATACCTCAAAATTATTGAACGTGCAACATGTCCCGCTCTTGATCACGCTTATCGTATCGATAATAGTAGCAGATTGTTGAGCTCACAACCTATGCACCAAATCTAACAAATTGTTAAAAAAACCACACATGCAATCATATCAATAACGTGTTTAAAGTAATTTAAAAATTAACATGAAAGCCATAAACACAATTATAGCCAGCAATAAACTTCACAAACTTGCGGTGAAACAACACGATAGACACAAATTGAATATGTTCATCTCAAATTAAAAATTTAAATCTGTCTTAAGATTATTAGAAAAATTGCACACGCATTAATCCGAGAATGATATAGAAAAATAATAATGAATAAATATCATTATAAAATTAAAGAGAATAAAAGGATAAGAGATAGAACGAGTTTACTCTTATGTTGAGATTGTTATCTGAAATAACAATTTGAGAGAAAATCAATCTTGAGTAAATAAACCAAAAAGGTTAAACTTCTTAGAATATAAGATAAAATAAATGGAAATAAAATATTCCTTTTATTTTGATCTATCCATCGAAAAAAATTGAGGCATGTCGCTACACAGTTTCTTAAGACAGATTTTCAACCACTCCTTTGGTGCTCGAGTTCGTTGGTCGTCTATCTCCCAAGATACAACAACTAATGATCATCTACAGTAGCACATCTGCACAGATCATGAACGATTTTTGCTTTCGACTATCACCGGAAAAACTAAGGAAGAGAAAACCTTTTTAAGATAAAAGAAGTTCTTGAACTTTTTCAAGATAAGAGAAATTCTTGAAAAACTGAGTTGTGAAATCTTTTTTTTAACCTAGCAGATTAACTCACTATTTATAGGAGATTTTCAAGAGATATTTAATCCAACTAAATATCTTTTAATATTCAAAATTAAACAGATAACAATATCTTTTAATTTGAAATATTCAAAAGATAAAACTCCTTTTACCACTCAAACTTAAATAGATATTATTTTAATTTGAAATATAAAAAAGTATATAATTATCTTTAATATTCAAAGTTAAAAAGGTAACAAATACATTTTTAAGTTGATATATTCAAAGAGTAATTATCATACTAATATTCAAATTAAATAATATATTTAATTTTAAATGATTAAAATGTAAACTCCTTTCACTATTCAAACTTAAACATATATTATTTTAATTTGAAATATACAAAAGTATATAATTATCTTTTAATATTCAAAATTAAGAAGATAACAAATGTATTTTTAAGTTGACTTATTAAAAGAGTAATTATTTTACTAATATTTAAATTAAAAATTATCTTTTAATTTACAATAGTTAAAAGATTATAAATTTAATATAAATATTAAACCAATTAATTAAATAAACTTTTTTTTCAACAGAAGTACCCTGTCAGGGTTTATTTTTCTATAGAAGAAAGCAGTCATGGGTGACAAAATGACAGCTCCACATAGACCCCATCAGAAGAAACTATGGCCTCCTAATCGTTACACAGACTTCATAATCAAAAGTTTTGCGAATCTCCAGCTTGCTTCTACTTTGTTGATGTAATGCAAAAAGAAGAAGAAAAAAGAAACGTCTAATAATTGACACAAAAAACGTGATTGAAATGACGTTTATTGTTTCAAGCTACAATGTGTCACCTAGGGACATTCGGTTCATCTGCAGGAAAAAAGAAATGAAAGCAACCAATGAAGAAGAAGAAGAAAGGACAAAGTAAAAATTGTAAAACAAAAGATGAAGGGAAAAGAAAATTCTTCTTTTCATTTTTTTTCTCAATAATTCAAAATAAAAGGAGTTGTGTTGCAGCTTTTATATCCCTTTTGATAAATACCAGGGCGGCAGGTTAACTATGAAATGGATACACTCTGGATTCTGCAAGTTGTTACTACTTTTGGAATGGCTTAATTCCCAAAAAAGTGTCAAACTATATCTTTTGTGCCGAATAAGTGTTTACGGTGTTTTTCGACTCATTTAGGTACTTAACATCATAAACGTGATCATAGGTGTTCGGGCCATCAACAACATTAAATTCTTTCGTTAAGTGACATGTGTTATAATTTGAAAATTTTAAAAATTTTATATAAAATTATATATATAATTTAAAAAGAAAACACATAAATTTTAAAATAATCACAAAACTTTGAAAACCTTCATTTTAACCCCTAAACTCATGCTTGCCGCCGCCTTTTTCCTTTTGAAGAAGCTCCACCTGACCTCCCCTCCCCCGGTGACCAAAACTCATATGAAATCGTGATCGATCGACAAAAAATCAACGTCGCGAACTCTAGGATGAAAATCGCGATTCCGACTGTAAATTGACGACAACTACGATAACATATAAATAGGATGATGACAAGGACTACATCGGCGGTGATAGTCGTGGCCATAAAGGGCGTCGACGGTAGGTTAGTGTTAGGATTTGAAGATTTTAGAGATTTTGAGGAGTTTTTTTGTAATTTAAAAGAAATTAGGATTTTTTTTATAAATATAATGATAATTTTAATATATTTTTTAAAAATAAATTTTAAAATTATCAGATTGTGACACGTGTCATTTAATGGATTAAATTAACACTGTTGACATCCCAAGCACCTAAAGTGATCACGTTTATAATGTTAGATACTTGAATGGTCAAAAAAAAATATTGTAGTCACCTATTCGACACATTTAAGAATAAGCCTTTGGGAATTGAGAAAAAAGAAGGCTTTATTGGCAATCCCGAAGGCATATTCTCTCATATTTTTTAAGGCACTGGTCTGGTTCGGTCCCTTGAATGGGGAAATATTCTCCACTATCTTCAATTAATCAGTTTCAAGCAATTATCGGGTCGGATGAGAATCTCCCCATTCTCATCTTGCAGGAAGAATGCATACACTTTCTTGTGAAGGTAAAAAACAAACTAATAATCATTGGTTAGTTTAGTGGGACGAGATACTAGATCTTTTATGCAAGGTTAGAGATTTGAATCATGACCATTGTGAATTGAGCAAATTGGGTTAGGAGGGTCGCCATTGGTTCTACAATACTCGATTCGGATTAGTTGATAAATAGATCGGATACCCGTGGTTATAATTTTTTTTTTTAAAAATAACAATTCTACTGGGCAGCCCTTGTCATGGAATCAACCAACACCCAGAATCTCACTTTTTTACATTTTAAATGTAAGTAAAAGATTAATAAAAAACAAAGGAATGAAAAGTAAAATATGGGGTCAGTAACTAAACTACAAAGTGGTTGGTCCGTCATTATATCAATTATTAGAGTTAAAGGAATTCAGAGCATAACATCGATTAGAATGGAGACCTTTGAGACTTCCTTTAACTAAATACACAATTACTACATTCAGGATAAAGTGAGGTTAAAGCCAAATGAGTAAGTAGTTTTAGCCTAAATCGAAAACAATATATCTTCATGTTACAGTGTCCTTTTTACAATGCATGAAAATTGATCATGTAACACTTAAAACCGTTAATTATGAAAATATATGATTAATTCCATCCAAACCTATGATATACATGAATTATAATTTAGCTAAATAAAGAGGTAAAATAATACTTCTTGGACATTTATTTTAATATATTATTGTTTTCGTCCTTACACGTTAGTTGGGATGACTTCAACGGATTCTTTGAACCCTGTATTAAGAAGAAAAAAACGAAACGTGACATCCTCACAGCAATGAATGTTTAGTTACATTAATTAGCTAGGTTTATGTTTATATTACTCTACCTTCTGGTTTGCTACTATGCTTGTTAATTGTCCTCAAAGCTAACACAATATTAATTAGCTAAATTCTTCAAAATTAAAATAAAATACCTAAATTTTAAATATACAAAGAACGCAGTGATTAGGAGCATGTTTTAACGTTTATTTTATTATGATTGTAAAAAAAATTAAGTGATTAGTGCTACCCCTAGATTCGCTATTGGAAATTATGGTTTTAAGTGAATTTAGATGCTAATATTTACTTAGGTGAGAATAATTAATTAAGGGCGGAATAAGAAATATATCTGAAACTTATATCTTTTGAAAAATGAAAGTTAAGAACATGGAATTTAATTGTTGACAATAAAAAATAATTTAGTTGGTTAAGCAAAGATGGTTGGCTTTGCATCCAAAAAGTGTTGCCAATAATTATTCATCACGTATATTGAATTCATCATTCAAAAGTACAGTTCACAGCACAGAAGAGAAAAGAAGGAAAAAAAGTCCCAAAAAACAAGAGACAAGCACCAGCCTTTCACATTTATACATGCAGAAGCTGAAATGAAGACAGTTTAATCATGAAAGGTGAAGTAAATGCAAATAATGAAAGTATATAATTCACTCTTTGCTGCTTGGAGTCTTTCAAGAAACAAGCTCTGCTATAAATTATGGGATTAAATCTTGTTACCCTTTCCTCCACCCCCCACACCTTCCACCTTTAATGCATAGTCCATTATCTCTTTGAAATGAAATTAGGTATTCATCTGATGGAAAAAGAAATTAGGTATTCATCGTTGACTGATTACGAGACGTACTGCATTCTCATGGGAGAAAGAAATGAATGTGGTGATGATGGAGGTAGTTAAAGAGGTGCTTTTCTATGGAGATTTTAAGGTCGAAGGTCATAGTTTTGATTGAGCCATGCCCCCACATTGGGTCCTACAACCCCAAAATAATGCCGTTTCTCTTTCCATCTAGGTAGCTGGCTCTTCTCCAATGCATAATAACCCTAAACCCGCCCATAATACTAAAATACGGTTATAATCGTAGTTGCATACGTTACGTATTTATTTCTTAAAAATAATTGTATTTTTATATTGTTTATACTATTACGGTATTACATTGATATGTCATTGCTGCCGCAATTTAATACTATGAACCCACCACACTTGCTCTCGTTGCCTTTAGCCAGCACCACCAATCCCCATCAACAACCCAGACCATTTTTCTTTTTCTTCTCTCCTGCGTATCTTAATTTGGCCATTTTATGATTTGCAAACACAAACACACACATATATATATATAGCCTTGTCTACATACTCCATTGCCCACACCAGCTTTGGAATCATTTACTTCTCTCATCTCATCTCATTGCCTTTCCAAACGCCGGAGAACATGAACATATCTGTAAATGGACAATCCCAAGTCCCGCCCGGATTCCGATTTCATCCCACCGAAGAGGAGCTCTTACAATACTATCTCAGAAAGAAGGTTTCATATGAGAAAATAGATTTAGATGTGATTCGGGATGTTGATCTTAATAAGCTCGAGCCCTGGGATATTCAAGGTGCATATATATAGTATGATTATATAAGCTGCTCATTGGTTTTATATACGTTCCATTTCCATGTACTTCATCAAGAATTGAATTGCAGAGAGCTGCAAAATCGGAACCACTCCTCAGAACGATTGGTACTTTTTTAGCCACAAAGATAAAAAGTATCCAACCGGAACTCGCACCAACCGTGCCACGGCTGCCGGGTTCTGGAAAGCAACCGGTCGTGACAGGATCATATATAGCAACTTCCGACGGATCGGAATGAGGAAGACTTTGGTGTTCTACAAAGGACGAGCCCCACATGGCCAAAAATCCGATTGGATCATGCACGAATACAGGCTAGACGATAACATCGTTGAAACAGCTGTAAGTAAGCCAAAAACTCTGATACTTTTTGGTTATTAAATTAATATCGGTAGTGATTTTTTTTAATAAATCAAGGTCTCCAATGTTATGGGAGAGGGGACACAAGAAGAGGGATGGGTGGTATGTCGTATCTTCAAGAAGAAAAATCACCACAAAACACTGGATAACCTCATCAGTTCAGAAACCAGGAACCATATGTTCGGTTCGTGTAATGAAGGAGACTTAGAGCAGATACTCGAACACATGCGAAGGAATTGTAATGAAGATGGTACAGCAAACAGCAGTTCGAGATTCATCAGGCCCATCGAGACAGCCATTAACAATGGCTACCCGGACTCATTCATGAAACTCCCGAGCCTCGAGAAGCCCAACTCGACGAGCAGCCTCAACTATTATCAGCCGATGATGATGGACAATGAAGGCTCGATCACAAATCATGTGGGTGGTGGTGGTGATCCCAACTCGGTTTACAGCAATGACTCAAGGCTCACAAACTGGGCAGCACTCGACAAACTCGTAGCCTCCCAACTCAACGGCCAAACAGAGACATCTAGGCAATTGGCATGCTTCAATGACACGTCCCTCGCCTACAGCAACTCCGGCACCGATCATCATCATGATCTCCAGTTACCAGCCGTTCGATACAACAGCGAGATAGACCTGTTGAGTTTCACTAGATCGTCTGCATCGTCCGACGCATTGTGCCACGTGGTGAATGCTAGTGTATAGACAGAACAACCCTGCATGTAATCATACCTTAGTTCCTAAAGTCAGAAGGTTATTATTACATCTAGCAGTTATGTTGATGAATATATATGCGTAGAGACGACGAATAAAAAAGTGAAATTTTATTCTTCGACGGGGACCATTATCTTCACTGAATCAAGATGTCTTCCATTTTCGTAAATGTGCTCTCTAGAAGCCTTGCAAAACTCTAGCTGATTTAATCTCTCTTTTTAACCGCAATATAATCATTATAATTCTGCCATTTTTCTCCCTTGCAATGATCAAAGTGGTTTTGTTTTCTAATTATCTCCGAGCCACGTGAATCTGTTGGATTGTTTTAGGTTTTTGAGCGAACGGTACTAGGTTCATGCATTACTCGTAACTATTTCAAGGAAAGGACAAAACAGTCATTGTTTTACATTTTGGTCCGCTGGCTAATGAAAATATATATTTGTCAAATTCTTCTATTAGTCCCTCAACTATGCATAAGTTCTCATGTTCTAATTTACTCAACTTTAATCCCTCAAATTTTTAAAATTTAAAATTTTGGTCCTAATTCAAACAATATCCATGAAATTCGTTAAGTAAAGTGTTGTGAAAACGGGCTAATTAACTTAGGAAATCAATAAGCAATAAAGCAAATTAAGAACACAATATTTAACAAGGTTCGGCAAAGTGCCTACGTCATCGGGAGCGATGAGCGGTTGTTTTCTTTATTATTCGCAATAATCCAAAATTAGGTTACAATCACAGTATATAAGAGTAACTCCGCTCCAACATCTGTCCTCCAACTGGTATATGAGACATACCTAACAAATCTCCACCTTGGCGAATATACTGCCCCTTAGGAGATGAAATAGAAAAAAGGGAAATTTATCAAACATCAAAGTGGGTTGGGCTACCATACTTCTCTAGCAACTGTAAACATTCAACAATTCTAAGCAATGCATGAACTTGTCAGTAGTAACTGGCTTGGTCTACATATTAGTTGCATTCTCACTAGTATGAACCTTCTGTAACAATATCTCTCTAGATGCAATCAACTCTCTAATATTGTGAAACCTCACATCTATATGCTTAGTTATAGCATGATACACTTGATTCTTAGGCAAATGAACAACAATTTGACTGTCACAATGCAACTGAACTCTACTTTGTTGAATACCCAATTCCTTTACTAGCCCAGTAAGCCATAAAGCTTCTTTTGCAGCTTCATCTGCTGCCATGTATTCTGCTTCAGTTATAGATAATGCCACAATAAACTGAACAGTTGACTTCCAACATATAAGCCCTCCACCAAGAGTAAAAATATACCCATTTGTAGATCTTCTATCATCTAAATCTCTTGCATAGTCTAAATCTGCATATATTACAACCAAAGGATTATCCTGCTAACTACAAAAAATAATTCCATTATCTACAGTGCCCTTCAAATACATGAAAATCCACTTGATTTCTTCCCAATGTCGCGTACCTGGTTTAGACATGTATTTACAAACTTGACTAACAACACTGGCATATGGAACCTTTGCCATGTCAACAACTTCCTTATCTATCTTAGGGCATTGTTCTGAGGAAAACTTAAAATGACTTGCCAATGGAATGCTTACTGGCTTTGCATTGCTCATCCCAAACCTAACACTTTCTCAACATAGCCCTACTGAGATAACCACAGTTTCCTTGAGCCTCTATCCCTATGAATCTCCATTCCAAGAATTTTCTTTGCATCACCTAAATCTTTCATATCAAATTCCAGGCTCAATAAAACTTTCAAACCAACAACATCATGCATATTCTTTGTAGCAATTAACATATCATCAACGTACAGTAGCAGAAAAATAAAAGAACCATAATCAAGGCTCCTAACATAAACACAACAATCATACTCACATCGCTTGTAGCCAATCTTAATCATATAAGAGTCTAATTGTTTATATCATTGTCTTGGAGACTATTTCAACCCATATAAAGATTTCTTCAACCTGCAAACCAAACGCTCATGTCCAGGTTGAGTGAACCCTTCTGGATATTGCATATAAATTTTCTCCTCTAAATAACCATGCAAAAAGACATTTTTGACATCCATCTGCTCTAAATGCAAATCCTAACTAGCTATCAATGCAAGTATTGCCCTGATTGAAGTATGCCTAACCATAAAAGAAAAGATTTCATCATAATTTACTCATTTCTATTATGAAAAACCCTTAACTACCAATCTAGCCTTGAACTATTCCCATCTTTTTCTGATACTGTTATTTCCTTTTATACACCCATTTGCAACAAATAGCCTTTTTCCCTCAGGAAGACGAACTAGCTCCCATATACGATTTTTCTGCAAAGACTCCATCTCCTCAACCATTTCAGCTATCCATTTTCCTTTCTCCTGACTAGTAATAGCTCATTGGAAAGTAGTTGGATCATCACTACTAATGTAAAGTGCAAAGGAGACCATGTCTTCAAAACCCAATCTGTTTGGAGTTTTTATATTTGTACATCTCTATCTGTCTTTGGCTAGTTTATAATCATGTAAAGCAATTGTACTAGAACCACCAGAAGTTGGGTTAGAATTTTCCTCTCTCTCAACTGCTACTGGATACTATTCTACATCCATCACTGCCTTGTCTTGGTTCTGCTGCAACATGAACTGCTCATCAAAGACCACATCTCTATTGATCACTACTTTCTTTGCAATTAGATCCCAAAACTTGTATCCTTTGACACATTTCTTGTAAAAAAACATTTTTTCGACTTTGCATCAAGATTTGATCTCTCATCACCACGTATATGCACATAAGCAGGACAACCAAAAATTCCTAAGTGACCAAAATCAACTGCATTACCTGTCCATACCTCTTCTGTAACCTTTCCACCCGATGATGCTCTCGATGATCTGTTAATGAGGTAGCATGTTATGCTCACATCCTCTACCTAGAAGCTTTTAGGAAGCCCTACATTTAGCCTCAAACATCTTGCCCTTTCATTCAATAACATGTTCATTTCTGCAACACCATTTTGATTTGGTGTCTTGCGCACTATAAAATGCCTCTGAATCCCATGCTTATCATAGAATTTTTGAAACCATGAATCTGTGTACTATGTGCCATTATCAATCCTCAAATACTTTATATTTCTACCAGTTTAGTTCTCCACCTCATTTTTCTATAGTTCGAACTTGGCAAAAACTTCAGATTTCTATTTCATGAAGTACACCCAAACTTTCCTAGAAAAATCGTCAATAAATGTAACATAATACATATATCCACTCAATGATGATTTTCTAGTAGGCTCACATACATTAGAATGCACATAATCAAGATTTCTTTCAGTTTTGTGCTTTCCATTATTGAAACTAACTCTAGTCTGTTTACCAAGAACATAAAACATGCAAAAATCGAGCTTGCAACAGATCTCTTTTATGCAATTCAGCCATTCCATGTTCACTAAGATGCGCAAGACACATATGCCATAGTTTTGTATTATCATGATATAACTCAACAAAATGAACTCCACCTACAACTGTACTCCCTAATAGTTTATAAATATTCCCTGCAGTCATCTTCCTTTAATCACAATCAATGCACCTTTAACAACTCTAATGGTTTCTATATCCTCATCTGCCTTAGGAATAAAACCATTATGCAAAGTGCCTAAAAAATTAGATTCTTCTTCAAATCTGGTATGTACCTAATGTAACACCCCCGAACTGTACCCAACCCGGATACGAATCTGAGGTGTCATATTAACTTTTCAAACGTTTGGACTCTTTTAAAATACGAATAAAACTTGACAATGAAAGAAAAACTTAATAAAACATAGTTAAAATACATATCAGAGCATGTATGATTTACATATTTTTAATACATGCCAACAATTTGCAAACAATCAAATCACATATTATTTAATTCACTCTGATCTGATATCCTTCAGAGATATAATGTCATGTCCTTGGTTACTTTGTTGATGTCTCTGAACCTACGTGTGAAAACAATCACACGCTAAGTCTATGACTTAGTGAGGCATAATGAGTATAATAAAACCATAAAACATTTATTTAAATATTTCATAAAAAAAAATACTTAATATGAAAATCAATTTACGTTTCATATAAATAGAATAGAATTTTAGTCACTGTTCAATTCATAATTAACTTACATTTCATAACAAAGACTACATATATATTTATACTATTTTCAATTCATATCAATTTGTTTAATTAGCCCATCATATATCAATGAGAATTCAAGGTATGTGAGTACAATGAGGTTGTGCACTATAATTGCAGTCATCACTGTCATATAATTTGCACCGAAGTGCCACGTAGAATATGCACCAAAGTGCTACATAGATTTTTCCCAAAAGACCGCGTAGAATTTGTCCCAAATGACCACGCAAAATTTTGTCCCGAATGACTGCATAGAACCCTCAACTCTTGGCATGCGAACTATACCCTTAATTCTCATAAAATATACTTTGGGCTTATTCCATATAATTATTTCACATTTATTATTCAAGTATCTTTTATTCACATAAACTACTATCACTTAACACATATTTACATAGACATTTTCACGTATCATTATCCAAGTTTATCATTCATTCACATAGAACTTATTATCATAATATTTCATTCCACATAGCATTTATTCAACATTTTCATTTAATCACGTATATCATATACTCATAGTTCATAAATACGAATATATTAAAATATTTGAAAAATATCATAATATAAATCAAATCATTTTCATTATCAAGCTTTCAAGATTGGCTCCTTGAAAGCCAAATTATCGAAAATTTATTTACAAAAGCATGATAAAAGTATTTTATAATAAAATTCAAAACCTTTTCTTTCAAACATTCGAGGTTGACTCATCGCGATTCTTCCTCCTATTATATATATTAGTATAAAAAACTGCACTCACCTTTGACTCACTTAAGCCCTAAGCAACACTTTTTCCCTTTAACTCCCCAACTTTATACGTCACTTCATTTAGCATTTACTTCCGATCGAATCTACACATTGCATGACCAATATGAATATCGGAGCTCAATTAACATCTAACCAATTAACTTTTACTTAAACAAAATGAAACGCCTAATTTAACAT